TCCAGGGCTGCCTCTCCTAGTTTGTTTCCTCTCAGGCAGCTTCCCCAGGTGCTCCAGTGGGGAGGGTGGCTGAACCTGGAGATGCGCATTACCCCGACCCCCACCAACAGCTCAGCACAACACATCCCCATTGCCCCTTCTCTGCGGCGGTGCGGAAAAGAGCTAAAAGGCGGTGAAGCGGCACAATAAGCATTGCTCCAAAGAACACCTCTCTCCCCCTCATCAGTGGAGTAACAGGGGGAAGTTGCCCCCAGGCACCATGCTAGGGGGGCGCCAAGTTGGGGTGGGAGCGCACAGCCCTATGTGCTCCCTGCAGACAAGCCACCTAGGCATGGCTATGCGGCAGGAGTGGGCACTTCAAAGGTAGGGTTACCGTATGTCCAGTGCCTGGCTCCGGGGGGAGGGGCATTGGGTTAGAGCGGGGGAGCAGGGGAGAACCTGGCTCTGGGGAAGGCGTGCATTGGATTAGAACAGGGAGGCAGGGGTGCCTGGCTCTGAAGGAGGGGTGGGTGCATTGGGTTAGAATGGGGAAGCCTGGCTCTGGAGATACTTAGAATTTTGTGTGTGAAAATGGGGTACTTTATTATTAATAATAATAATAATAATTAAAAAAAAAGGTTGACACACACTGGTTTATAGCATTAACCTATAAGCTTTTGGTTATCAATTAATGAGCTACACTATTACATCCTTAGTTTGGACTGCAATGATAGTCCCAATGGGGGATGTCAATGTATAGATGACTACACGATTAGCTGATCAGCCCAGGCTTAGGGTTAATCCCGTCTACTAGATGCATCTTCCCCCCTCGTTGCCTCTGTGCCAGAGGCAGAAAGGGGGGGGAGGAGGTGGAAGCCAGTGCCCGTGGGCAGCTAGTTTTAAGTGAGCTCTCCAGGAGCACTGGATTTGCCTCCCTTTCTCCCCACCACAAACTATGCTGACAGAGAGCCAGCAGCTTGGAGGGCAGGCAGAGCCTATATGCATAAGTAGCTGGGTTTTAATCAAATTCTCTGCGAGCACCAGCTCCGCAGACCCACCTGCTGACTCCCCTTGCTGCCTCCTTAAAAGCTAGCTTCCACCAGCACCAGCTTTGCAGTGCTGCCTGCTCCTTCACCTGTGTGGCTGCCTTTCAGAGGCAACAGTATGGGGCTTGGTGGAAGTAGAGGAGACTTGACACGAAGCAGCCCGTCTATAGCAGGCCCAAAATCACCACAGACAAACGTTGCTTCATGGCAGCAGTCCCTGTCCATGGGGAGCTCGGACCCCCTACAGACAGGAGCTGCTGCCATCCTGCGCTGCTGCCTCTGTATCATAGACTGCTTGCAACCCCGTGCTACTGCCTGTGTGGGATGCAGTTTTTAAACTGGCTCCCCTCAGGGACGGGATCCCACCAGCCACCCCTAGCTGCTGCTTCTGATGGAGACAGCAGGGGGCTTCCCGGGAGTAAGGGGCCACTGGTTGCTGGCCCTCTCCTCAGGGACTATCGAATAGTCATGTAATGGCTAAAATTTGATATGGTTACACAACTATTCAATTACATGCTATCTAACATCCCTAATCCCAACCAAGATTTTTTTGTTCTACTAGCCTAAGAAGCTTATATTTGCTTTCTGGAAAGCAGATGCCCATGTTGGAGAAGCAACAAATCCTTTTTACAAGACAGATTCAAAGCATAGCTATTCTTCAGAGCTAATATAGGTATATTAATTCATATACTTGAATAGTTTAGGAAAAATAGTAATTGCAGCTATAGATCATATCTTTTAAGCATAAGGAACCACTATGTTAAAAACAATATTTACAAACAATCCTCTAAATCCCAAATATCTAAGAACAAAAACCACTGGTCTTTTAGGTGTTCATGTACAACAATGTTGTGATACTATTGTGTGTAAATGCAACAGACATTTAATAACCTACACATAACTGTTACGTTCAACAGCTACAAAAAAGAAGACAAAGCCTAAAACTCTGCCCCGACTGACTTCAATAAATATAGCAACTAATGGTGCAGAAGTCATGGTTACTTTTTTGGAAACGGAACTGCACCTAAATTGACATGGGCTGAAAATACATTCTGAACATGTTATTAGGTGGATCAAAGCAATCCTACCAGATCTAAGCACGATAAGAAGTACAAGACCTAATGCGAGGTGCTGTGAAGACACTTGATTTCACTCACACTTTTTCTAGAACAATGCCCTTGGCATGAGACGCTCCTCCAAAGGGGTTGGCTTTCAGGGCAGTGCCCAAATGCGCCTTCTTGTATTGCTTGTCGTGCCATTTCTGATCACGACGGTGGCTGCGAAGCTTTCTGGCCGTACGAAGCCCGCGGCACTTCCCTGCAGCACCATTGGGCAGGAGACAGAAAAACAATCAGTCAGTTCCACGCCCGGCCCAGGCC